GTATCTTAATATAAATTAGTAATAGTGTTTTAATATTTGTTGTAATTTTTCTGTTCTTTCTTGATGGTGGGTGGTGATAGTATTGATGTAGTAATAGTGTTTTAATATTCGTAGTAATTTTTCTATTCTTTTTTGATGATGGTGGTGATAGTATTGATGTAATAATAATAATAATATTGATAATAGTATCTTTAATATATATTAGTAATAATGTTTTAACATTCGTAGTAATATTTTAAAGACCTAGTGTAATAAGAATAGTAATATTGTTTAATAGTGTTTTTAGCGATATCAGTCATAGAGTTGTGATGATGTGTGATAGTGGTTCATATGAATAGAGTGTAAGAAAGAAAAATAAAATGGGAAGAAGGGAAGGGAAAGAAGAAGAAAAGAAAGAACGAGAGAAAAGAATCTTCAAAAGACCTTCATTGCAGTTTCATGAGGTTTAATCAAGAGACATAAAAGTCTTGAAGACCCTCGGACATCACTGGTCATCTTGGTAGGGATGTATGCGCAAGCAAGACACTAAGAGTACTCTTACTTCGTGCGAAAATGGCGGCCCAAGCTACGCCAATGAGACTCTTGGATTAATAACTACAGGTAAGTGGTGTGTCTCTTCTTTCTTATTTTCTTTATCTTGCGGTTGACCAACGCGCGAGTTTATTTTTAAACAATTTCCTTCTTCTTTTTTTTATTTTCAATTTCATTTTTTAATGGAATGAAATATTTTTTCCGGTATCGTTTATAGATACAAAAAAATTCTAAATTTATCATCATCTTATCTTAATCACAAATATGAAAAATAAAATATTATTTCAATTAATTTGAACTTTTTTTCTTGTATACATTAAAACGCGTTAATTAATTCACATTCTTATTGGTTGATATTTAATTACGGTATTCTTTTTTAATATATAGGTTTTTTTTTGTTGTTAAAAATTAAATAGAAATATTTTTTTATTTGGTAGCCGAAAGTTGAGAGACACTGAGGTTTACGTTAGCCTCCGCAATATATATAACGAAATTCTTTCCCGTTCCCTTCTCGTTTCCTTGTTCTCTTCTTCTTCTTCTTCCTCGTCTTCTTTCTTCTCTTCTTCTTCTTCTTCTTCTCTTCTTCTTCTTCTTCTCTTTCGACGTACAATAAAATAACTCATTATTCTCTTATCGTTTCAAGCTTATAGCCTCGAGACGAAGTTCATTGCTTACGTTGTGTGTGTTGTGTAGGCCCCCCCGTCAAACTTACTTTTACCTTTCGAATATTTATAAGACGTTTTCTCTTCCTTTACGATAAACATCCTAAATTTTCATATTTATGGGATAATAAAAAAAAAAAACTAACTAACTGATATTCCGAATATATATCTTACATTGAACATAATCACTTTAAACAATATTTATTTCATCACGGAAAAGTACGAAGGACGTACAAGTCTGAAAGTTTCCAAATGTGGTGATGGTGGTGGTGGTGGTGGTTCTTTTCCAAAAACTTTTGTAACCAATTCTGTTTACTTCAAATAATTTCAACTACAAATATCTATGGAACTTAATGACCAAGTTACTTAAACATCGATAAGATTATAAATTACCTTATATCGTGCAATCGCAATTACACAATCCAAATTACACGTAAACAAGAATATATATATATATTGATGAAATTATTCCGATAAATATATTCCCCCAATGAAAACAAACAAAAAAATGAATTATGTATTCAAATACGACCGATAGAATATCGGTGATTAGTCAACAACGAAACAAAAAAAAAAAAAAAAGAAAAAAAAACAAGTAAATTAGTTTCTAACATTTATGCAAGGTTCCTGAAAGTTAGATAACACGCACAGATACACACAGAGACTTGTGGATACTTTTAATAGACAAAATATCTCTCATATTAATTAATTAATTAAATAATTAACATCAAATACAAAAAAATATTTGAGCAATCACAAATTATTGCATGTTTCCTTTATATTTAATATACAATCTTACGAGACCAAATGAAACAAACTTAAGATAACAACAGGATCTTGTCAGAAACACATAAATAAAAAAATCAACGAAGTAGAATACTTAATATATAATTAAACATTAATACGATCTAATCAAAAATTTCATATTTAATTGAAAAAAAAAAAGAAAAATGGTAGCCGTAAGTTGAGAGCCACTGGCGAACAATAACTTCGTACCACCGCGAGCTCTCAAAATGGCTGTCCTCAGCTATTATTACTTCGGGGAAAAAACAAATGACGGTGCGTTCACGCTACGCGAACAGAGTAAGAGAAAGACAGAAAGAGAAAGAAGAGGAAGAGAGAGAGAAAGAAAAAGAGAAGGAAAATAAGAGAGAAAGAGAGAGAGAGAGAAGAGAAGAAAGAGAGGAACAAGAGAAGAGCCAAGGCCCTCTGCACCAGCAGCACAACTACGACGATCAACAACGCGACTACGACGACGATGTTCATCGTCCCCGTGTGCGCTTGTACGTGGGTGCTTGGTTTCCCCATACACTTTTCAAGATTCTCCGAACTCTACGTACAAAGTCAAAAACATTTTCATCGTTATTAAGAGACAGTCGTATTCCGAAAGAGAAAAATGCACCACACAACCACCAGCGCACCACCACTACAAATCATTCTGTGTTTTGTGCACATGTTTTGTGAATAACAGGGACGAGACAGAACCATGGGAAGGGAAGGGAAGGGGAAAGAGAAAAATTGTAGATTTATTTTGTCGAAGAAAAATATCCCTTCTTTTCTAAACACCCTGCCCAATTGACGTCTTATGTTCATCCTGTCAACATACACTAATAAAATATGACTTTTTTTCTTTTTCTTTCTTTCCTTTCCTTTCCTTTTCCCATACCGTCATTTTCTTTTTTCTTATAAAAGGAATTAATTTTGTAACTTGAAAGAAAATCCCTCTCTCTTTTTCTTCCCCCCTCCCCTCCCCTTTAAGCAACACCATCCCATCCTCTATGGAAAACGTGCGTGTGACATTTAACGGAAAATCCCTTCTACCTCTTCTTATTTTCTCATTTTATTTTCTCTTTTTCATTTTATGCAATAAGAATAGTTTCAATACCTTTTGTTCTGAATGAACAAAAAAAAAAAAGAAATAACCATAAAAATCATTTGTAGTATTTAATATGTGTTGTGTGTGGCGAACAATTTTTTTTTTTTGGAAGAATAAGAATAAGAAGAAGAATTTATTTTGGTACGTCACTCTTACATTGAAATAAAATTGAATCACAAGAAAAAAAACTTGACCCATAAATTTACAATTGGTAGAGACGACGACAAACCCCATGACATTTTTTTTTCTTGTCATAGAAAAATCCTTTTAGAATATCGGAATTTCTCTTTTTTTGTTACGATTTTTCTTAGATATTTCTTTTTCTATTTCTTCTCCAAATGTTATTTAAATAAGAAAACGGTTCTCTTCTGAGGATTTAGTTTAAATGGGGATTTTCTTTATCTCGCTTGTTAATATTTTTCTGTAAAATCTTAACCCCCTCCCTTTCTTTTTTTATCATCTTTATCTTATTCACAAAATTCGGACATAATGTAAAACAGTTTTTTTTTTTTTTTTTTTTAGAAACGTAGATTTTGCAGATTGTTTTTTCCTCTCTTGGGAAATTATCGAACGAAGATATTTAGAGGTTAGGATTTACGATGGAACAAGAAAATAAAAGAAAGATTATAAAAATCATGATTAGAAATTTTCTAACATTTTCTATAATACATATATATATAAAAATATATTATACTTCGTGTACGATAAAATGTGTTGTGATTGTTGAATATTATCGAGAAGAATAAAACCCACCCATACCTCCTCCTTCACTTCGCCATTTTTTGAATGAAAAAAAATCAACGGTAATTACTGTTTTCCGTTTAACGGAATATTTCTCATCGTACCTTAATTATTTCCTGTATACGTTGGAATAAATAAAATAATCAAAAAGATATTTTCCTTATAATGGAATAAATATTCCGTTTCAAAATATAACCTAGAAAAATATTATCAATATAAAATAATAATTACAAATATTGCACGATAAGATACTTTAAGATGATACCCACTTTAAAAAGGGACAACAAAAAAAACAAGTTATAACCAATAATTATACTCGTATTCAAACGAGACTCGATTAAATAATTTACCTAAATCAAAATTATTCTTCCCAAACTAAGAATAGTAATAGGGGGGAGAAATAAATAAAATGGCAACCATTTTGATATCACATGATTAAAATCGACCAATCAGAAAATTACAGATGCATGCACAACATTATTTAGTATATCATTTAGAGTATGTGTTCCAAGAGTAAAAATCTAAAACTTTGTACTTTTATAATACACAATTACAAAAGAAAATCATATGAAATATAAATGAACGTGTTAATCGGCACGTGTGAGTCACCGGTAACCGGCAATTATATTTTATCACTAGCAAGAGTGGGCCACGTGGGTCATGGGCGACCAATAACGTTACATTATTTAATATCTAATCTGAAAAATTATGTTCTGTACAATAAAAAACAAACATGTAAAATAAAAAGTGGGTGGCAATCAACGTGTTGAGTTAAAATCAGAAATAAACCAAATAAAATATTAGCAACAGCAGTCAATAATAATCAAGAATATTAGGAAAACAAAAATTAGAGTTGTTGCTGTTGCTCGAATTTGGTTGTGTGTTGGTGCAGCAAATACAAAAATATATATATATATAGATAAATAGAAAAAAAAATCTGAACAGACGCTTACCGTTTGAAATGCTCTCTTATACGATCCTCTCGGATGTTTTCCGGCAGATTTCCAACCCACAGGTGACGTGTCTCTCTAACCATTTTGCTCCGAACTCTTCATTTGGGATCGGATGTTGTGGTATCGTTTGGCGGCACTGTATAACGACACACAACCACTAGGACCGATGATATAATATATATATATTAATATATATGTATATATACACACACATATATATACATATACATATATATATTAAAAACAACCGGGCTGGATGGGCACTTTTTTCTTTTTTATATCTTTTTCCTATTCCTTGTTTCCTTTTTCCTTTACGAACCACACCAAAATCTCACACCACTTATATATTATTATACTTGTCAATTCTTCTCTCTATTAATTAGAGTAATATAAGGATGAGAGATAGAAATAACGTTGGTTGTATGAATTAGTGAGAAAGAGAGAAACAAACAAACAAACAAACAAACGAACGAACTAACGAACGAACAAACAAGTCAAATAGAAAGAGAACAAACTGTTAAAGAAAGTTCTTATTTTCTTTCTATTTTTCTCTCTCTCCTCGTAGAAACAAACGTTCTTTTCTTCCTTTTTTTAATTATATATTCTTGTACTTAAAACTCCTTTTGTTTTTTTTTTTGTTTGCACACTTAATTAATTACAATCGTCGATGAAGAGAAAAAAAAAAAAAACACGTGCACGCAACACGACGAATGTGAAGAAGAAGATGTGAAAAACTCGTTGATTGGTGGTCGTATTTTTTTAACGCACGCACACAGCAAAATAATTAATAAAAGAAAAGAATATTTTACACGAGAAAATATAATAATTAATAATAATAATAATAATAATAATAACAATGTGTGTGTGTATTAATTAATAAGAGTAATAATAAAAAGGAAAAAAAAAATGTATACTCTAATTTATAATAGTAAATGATAATAAACCCAAAAAAAAGAAAAGAAAATATATATCCAGGAGGGGGAACGTTCTCCTCCGACGCGTGTACTTGTAGCACTGAATTTTTCACGAAGAAAAACACTTACTTCCTTCCTCCCTACTTTTCAAATCGTATTCACACTTTCCCTCTTTTTTCTTTCTTTTTTAGTGACAACTAAAACTAGGGGAAAAAATTGACAACTATCGATGAACCAAAAGCAAGAAGGCAATTACAACAACAACAAATCTTGATGATCACTAAGCACTAGCACTAACGCTGCTGCTGCTGTTGCTGTTGTTGGTAATGATGATGTTGTTGCTGCTGCTGCTGCTGATGCTGTTACTGTTGATGATTCCACCACTGCAAGGGCTGTTGGTGATATTGTAGAGAACGATGAAACTGCCACCACAGTTGTTTCTGTTGATGCTGTTGCTGCTGATGGCGTTGTTGATTCGATTGGAAAGTATGTATATGACGTTGAACAATAACCCAACAGTATTAGTAACAACGACGTTCTTTTTGTAATTGTAGTTGTTGTTATTATTGTCCCTAGGGTAATAATCTAAGCAACAATTGTTATTGAAGCAGCAACTAATAACAACAGTATTCCTGTTGAACTTGTTGTTGGGATAGATAATAAGATTGCTTTTAGATTGGTTTGTTCTAAATGCGTCTTTGCTGGAACTTGAATTGGGTTGATGATCGTTGTTGTAATAGTTAAAGTTGAGATCGTTGATGCTGTTGTTGTTATTGTTAATAATTATTCGCCAACGATTGTTCTTGTTGCTGCTGCTGCTTTTGTTGTTGTTGTTGATGAAGAACAGTACAGGTGGTGTTGTTTCTCGCGTTGTCGACGTCAGCAAGGATGATGATGACGATGACAGCGGTGACTGCAATGACGACGACGACGACGACGACGACGACGATGACACCGCCGACGACGACGATGATGATGATGATGATGAAGACCACCACTCGGTTAGCAAAGAAGAAGTGGAGGAGGACGTTGTTGACCACCACCACCACCACAACAACAACAACGACGACGACGACAACGACGCCGACGACGACGCCGACGACGACGAGGTCGACGACGACGAGGTCGACGACGACGGCGAGGTCGACGCGTAAATAATAAAGTCGATGATGGTAGGATTTCTTGTTAAATAAACTAAATGATTGGATAACCTAGAATATGAGCCCTTATAAATGACACCACTTACGGCAACGGCTACGAGGAGGACCAGGGCCGTCGCCGAACACCACATCGTACACCACTAATTCACGTTATGAACGGCTGGTTAAACCGACGGGGGCTAATCACACGTCACACCACGGGCCACCACGTTAATATCTAACGGCCGATCCATCATTTAATTCTTTTATTATTAACTTAATTTAATCCAACACCGTTATTTTATTATTGGGTTTAAAAACCAAAGTAATCAACTAAATTAACTGAACAACGATAGAACAACTTCTACCCAAAACCACCAGAGCTTGTTTCTGCTTCCCCTTTGTTTCTCTTCTTCTTCTTTTCCAATACCCTCCAAAAAGAAATAATAACCAAAGGGTATAATGGAAACTACACAATTGTTGTCGTTGTTGTTGATTACTGCTGCTACTTTGCTGGGGGTTGTTGATTTGGGGTGTTTTCACTCAAAAACTAACACACAAACTTGATTTATTTGTTGTTTTTTTTTTTAGACAACTATCTTAACACTGACGACGAATTACATCCTTCGTCCGAGTTAACAGTTGTTGTTGCATTTGTCATAATTGATTAATAAACGACAAATGTAATTAGAAAATAGGGAAGGGACCCAACGCGTTTTCCGTTTATTATTAATCGTCGGATTCAAAACTTCCCGCCTGATTTCTTTAAATTCTTTCTTCATAAATGACTACTACTTTTGTTACTGCTACCGAGTGTTTTTTGTTTTTGTTTTTTAAATAGCCTCTTTTATTTGTGTGAGAAAGAGAGATTGTGTATGTATGTATGTATGTATGTGATGTATGTTGATTACCACCCCCTTTTCTTCTTAATCGAACGTTATACCACACTACACACCACCAGCACTATTATCCCAAGCAACCCTGGCAACAAACTCTACTATAACTCCCACAGGACAACACACAGTGCAAACACGGTTGATATTAAAGGACACACAACCAACAGCACACCCACTGACTACTATACTGCTTTTCGTTTTCCACGTTAGAGAAAAAAAAAAGGCGGATCAAAAAACACCAATCCAACCAACCAACCACCACCGTGTGTTGTTGTCTGCTGCACGGCTTCTTCTCGGGATAAGAAGAAGAAAACTAATACGAAATAATAATCGTGACACACGAGATATACACCCACCCTCTTCTTCTTCTTCTTCTTCTTCTTCTTCTTCTACTACTACTTCTTCTTCCTCCTCTTGGTGTTCTCTCACTCGCTCTAACTCTTTCTCCTATCTTTCAGGATTCCACCACCTCCTCCTCCCTCCCTCTCCTTCTACGTTTGAATATAGTGGGTGCTTTGAACGTCGTGGTCGTTAAACTCGGCAATCTCTCTCTCTTCTCACCGTCTGTGTGTCTGTCTCTCCTTATATTATCTACTTCTCTCTCTCTCTCTTTTTACCCCGAATTATCGTCAGAGAGAAAGAGAAAGAGAGATAAAGATAAAATAGAAAGAGAGAGAGAGAGAGAGAAAGAATATGAGTTTAGATAATTATTTATTTAATAACAGAAAAAAATATAATGGGTGGAATTAATTATCTCAAAGTACCCAACAACAACAACACAACAATAACAAAAAATTATAATATTCGCGCACTCACTCTGGTATCCCCACAGCCCCACCGATGATGCACTTCACGCACACAGTGAAAGAGAAAGAGAGAGAGAGAGAGAGAGAGAGAGAAATACAACACACTACCTCACACTCCACACTCCACTAATTCCACACCTTGCGCGCGACAAATTAATTTCTTTTTTTTTTTTCCTTTTATCTTCCTCTTTTAATTATTATTATTATTACTATTTATTATTATTAATATTACTTTTTTCCTTTCGTTACTTTTTATTATACAAATTTACACACAGAAATATATATATATATATATAATACATATATATATATTATATGTCGAAGAAAGAGAAAATAAGGACGCAAAAAAATGAAAATCTAATTCCCCGATGGAAAATTCTCTTCCTCCGACTTCTTTTTTTTTTTTTTTTTTTTTTTAATATTATTTTTTTATTATTATTATTATTTTCTTCCTTTCACACCGCGCGCGCGCGAGAAAAGAGCACCACACACGTCCGTATGCAGGTGAGAGACTTTCTTCTTCTTCTTCTTCCTTTTTTTTTTTTTTCTCTATATCCCCTTTTTTTTTTGTTTTATTTCTTTCTTTCTTTATTCGTAGTTGATGATAAAACAACACACGTTTTTCGAAAGGGCGCAGCTTAGCTTTATTGCGGACGGGAGTGAACAGCTCGCTCCTACTCACTGCTCTACACTACTCGAAGTGACGTCACCGTGGCGGGAGCGTAGCGCAGCTCGCTGGCTAGCGGCGCCCGCTCCCGTTCCTGCTATCGTTCCACGGTTCTATCCAAATTCTTGGTGGTGGGGGTAAACCAGCGCCGCCGTCCTCGAGTCGGGCTACGCTGTCTGGTGGGGAAACGGAAAACACGTCTTTACGTTCACTCCCCCCCTCCCCCTACCAACCCCCGCCCCCGCCCCGCCCCACCAAATACGCGGTGGGTGGGGTAAAAACGTGACGTGGTGACGTGGTAGAGTGGAGTGGGATTGTGTTGGGCTTAGAGTAGGGGAATCACAAGAGTAGGACATTTGTGTTTCCTGTTTGTGCCGCTGCGCGCACTAAGGCGCTGCTGAGTTTATGGTTGCCCCGTTTAACGTGTGCGCGCGCATACAAGCGCAAGCGCTCTTTTCATCCATCGCGAATTGGTTGTACCTGGTGGTGGGGACGAATAGAACGTTTCCGCGCCGTTGCCGGCGGAAAAGCTCTCTCTCCCCTCTAGAATAGGGGAAACGTGTAGAGAGATAGAGAGAGAGAGAGAATGAGAATGATATTCGTGTAGAATCGAAGCAAGGACAGCAAGTAGGGGAAATCTCGAGCCACTGGGAGAGAGGAGGGATAACGGGTCGAACGAGCTAACCCGAACCCCCGAGCCGAGAGCGACGTGTTCCCCTTCTCTTTCAAACGATCATCTCTCTCTCTCTCTCTCTCTCTCTCTCTCTTCTGTTCTGTTCTCTTTCTTTCTTTCTTTCTCTTATTCCCTCTTTCTATCTTTACATCCCTTTGCCTCGCACCGCAACGCTTTGAGAACTCTCTTCGTTCTGTCCTTTTCCTTCTCTTACAAAGCCCCCTTCGTCGCGTAGTGTCCGCTACTCCTCCTGCACCCTTTTGCCACAGTCATCGTCGTTGGTGTCGTCGTCGACGACTACGACTACGGGGCGACGACGACGACGACGACACAACGCAAACCCGCCATCTTTCTTATTATCTCTCCCTCCCTTTCTCTTTCTTTCTTTCTTTCTCTTTCCTCTTTCTCCAGGGCCGTTTTAAGTGCAGCCAATTACCCGGGACATCTGTACTTTCTATTACTGTGAGAGCAAGCACAGAGAATAATGACCGACGACTATTGCATTATATATTAGGAAAATAAAATAAAATATAATAAAATAAAAAAATCTATTTAACTATATACTCGCAGCAAGTTTCTTGATACTAACGATCGAAAGTTAAAACCATTGTCGACGTAAAACCTAATCTTTCGTATTTAAACAATTTCTATTAAAATTAAGGGAAAACTTTTTATAATACGCGTTTTACTTTCAACTTCGACAATATCAAATTAATTAATTGGATATAGGAATATTTGTTATAAACAAACGCAATATCCATTTTCTTGTTTCGTTCAATCGTTAAATTGAATCAAATCTCTAACGTTAAATCCCATTATCATATTTATTCATCTAAATTAATTGTACTGGTTACTTAATAAATCATTAACGTGCATACTTAATAATAATTGTAATATATACATAATAATAAACAATAAGAATAATATTATAAGAAATAAACGATGAAATGAACGAAATAGAGTGACGAATTCGAAGGTAGGGGTACTAGTTTAGATAACTACGGGCCTGCTGCTCCATCTTGTTTTCACTAAACTCGTGTCGACCAACGACCGTTGTGAGTCCATGGCATCGACTATGGCGGTCGCCGCCGCGCCTTTGTGGTTGCACGTATATATATATATATATATGATGCATGCATGCATGCATATATCCTATGTTAAATGCGTTTAAATGTGTATAAATATATATGTGTGTGTGTATATAATATGTGTATATGTATGCACGTACGATCCGCCATAAGGTTCGTTCGCTTTGACTCGTTCAGTACGACGAAACAACAAACTGTTTGACGTTCCCTTGACGATGACGTTCCAATGTTCGATTGGTTCGGTGCGTAAAGGTGTTACTACTACCTCGAATGAAATGACGATTGTACAATATATATTTTTTGTTTAAACTAACGGCCGCTGCTCTAACAACGACGATATATATATATATATATATATATATATGTGTATCGTGTTTTCGCATCGACCAGAGAGACCACCAACGCGTCCTCGAGGGACACAAAAGAGAAAGAGAACGAGAGTAGTAGTGTGTAGTAGTAGTAGGAGTAGTAGTAGTAGTAATAATGGTATTAGTAATACAGTAGTAGGCTGGGGGAGGTGGTTCGAGGGGAAAGGAGTAAAGAAAAATCTTCCTAGAGCATTGTTTCTAATACCAACGTGTTATTTTATCGAGAACTCCAACCGGAAACGACTTTCCAACGAATTCCAAAGTCAAATCGACCGATGGGGCCCCCTCCTCGCCACCGTCACCGTCACCGCCAAGAATTACATGCGATATTGTTCTTTTTCTTCTTCTTCTTTCTTTTTACTTTTTTCCTTGTTATTTAAAAATATGGAAAAGTTGACGCCAATATGCCCTATAGCGTGTTATCGTCGGCGCTATACTTAATTTATTCTTATGGCTATGAATAAACAAGCGTCAAGTAATAATACTTTAAATTGTGAGGAACTTTGAGACTCGTGTCAGTGTCGGATCCGATTAAATGTTACTTTAGAAGCGGATCGTACGAGTTAAGGATCGATATAACATGACTCATGTGTCTCTCTCTCTCTCTCTCGTCGTCGTCAACAACGACGTACCCTTTTTTTCTTTTACCCTTCTTGTTTACAGTTCAAGAGTATCGATCGTGCTCGATTCTCTCTCTTTCTCTCGCGTGTGTACTGCAAGAAAGCGTATTTCGTCGTCATCATCATCATCGTCGTCTTCTTCTTCATCGCGGTCGTTGGTCGTGCCAGTCGAGAAAGAAGAAAACTAACTGCTAAAACGAGTATATGTGTTTATTGTTTCCTATGACACTATCTAGTCTGCCTATCGGTCTGTTTTTTTCTCACCTTTTACTGCTTCGAAGTAGAACTAGAGAAAAAGATGATATCATTTATTTTATTATGAAGAAATATAAGAAGAATTCGATTGGTTCTATGACCTTATAACATTCCTATTAAATTCATTCGATATTTCTATTTCCTATATTTCTTTTCCTAACTATCTATATGAACTTCGAATGTGATGCAAACCGTTGAAGGTCGTTCGAAAACTAATAGGTTATAATCCGCCATTTTGAATAAATTGTTCGTAAGTAATAAGTACCTAGTTTACCCCGTTCATTACGTTTTCCTATTATCGGTGAACGATAAAAGAGTTCATTGTTCTTGTCAAAGAGATAATTCTTCTTCTACTTCTATTTCTATTTCTACTTCTTCTACTTGTACTTATTCACAGTAGCCTTGCCACATTTCTCTTCGAATCTAACGGTACGTATAAGCATTTACGCGCGCGTGAATTATTTCTTTGCATCATCCATAAGAAAAATACCTCCAATGAAGAGAAATATGCGTCATACTCTTCCGATGTTTAAACCAATGAAACCATCAACCTTTCTGCCTGTTCAAGTCGAGCCTTTGTCGCGATTTTTTTTGTCTATACATGTGTATGCTGAGATATGTCAGTTATTTATGTATATATTTATGTATTTAAATGTGTGTACGTGATAATGTTCTCTTCAATCTTATATTCGACAAGTTTTTAATCGTTCGAATGATTGTACGAATGAATAGGTGCGTTAAGTATACACGGTTTTCTACTTACGATGATCAAATTTGTCTCTTACGTCGTGGACGACGTGAACGAGAAAATTATGGAAACTTCATTCCACTTAATAATAAATACAAGTTATGACAAAGCCAATAGGAATGACGATGTAGATATTTATTTATAAAATAATACGAACTTGTATTTCGCTTTATTTTTTGTTCTTTATTGAATTATTTATTGCATTCATAGCAATTTTACATTTGTAATTATACGTTTGATATTGGATGACCAGCAGGATTTTACAAAATGGCGACGTTATTTCGATTCGTATTACTAGAGCCATCTACTGATTGTTATGCTTACTAAATTGCAATTATTATCGATGTGAAATTGTTATCTACAGAAATTTATTACCGACTGAACATTGTTACCGACACAAGTTAATTATCCTATGATTATTTCTGTAATTAAAATCATGACATAAAAATTGATTAAACAAACTTGTATCACTATGCTAAGTTTCCTGAAAAAGTAGATGTATGCTTACTCCTCTTGAAATAAACCATATTACAATTTTCTTAGATTAACTAGTTCTTTTTATTAAAAAAAAATTACCTTTCTCTAATTATACTGCAAGTTTTAATTATTAAAACTTTATATCAGCGAACGACCTAAAAACAGAAAAATAAAGAAATAATTAGAACATGATTGCTAAAGAAAAGCAATTAGAAGAAGATGTTGAAAGAGAAAAAATATCCAAGGAATTGTCAGTGACATCGTCGGATCCAAATATACGAAAACTTGCTAGAAGACAACGAATTCAACGTCGTTTGAGTGCTCTGCATAAGTATGGCTTTTCTTCTTCTTCATTTCCTTATTTTCTTTTTCTTCATCTTTTAATAAACTACAAATAAGTAAAACACAATTAATTAAAACTAATTATAACTTAAGTTTAAAACCCTTACAAGATCAACAGCAAAATTAATCTAAAAACTTTTATTATTTAGGGTAAAAGGAACAGAAGATGAAGAAATTATCGAAAAAACTTCTATCGAAGGACAGATATTAGCCAGTACTGAAATCTTGGAAGAAATTAAAACAGAAGCCGAGGAAGTGGTTTGTATTAATCCTACAATCAAATTATAATATAAATATATATCACTGTTTCTTCTTAATAAATAATATTTTAACAAGAAAATATATAAATACGCACAGATATCTAATGTAAGAGTTGCAAATGATGCACGTGAATTGGAACGACGTAAAGAAACACAAGCTACAAGAGAGATTTTATTGAATAAACTTGAAAAAGAAAATGAGGAATGCATGGCCAAGTATCGAGAGATCGATGAAAAATGGTCTAACATTCTTACATCGAAAGATCCATTGGATATACACGAGGAAATGAAACTGCAAAATACAAAATGTTTCGAATTAATAGCAAAAAAAGATGAAGTAATAATTGGACTTAAAGCTGAACTGGAGAATGCTGATCTTAGATTTACTGAAGACTTGAAGAAACAGAATGAAGATATCGATGTATTGATAGAAAGAATAGATCGTCAGGTTGATCATTTTACCTCTGGAATTTAATTATTTCCTTTCAATTAATTACAAATGATTTATATTGATCTATACAAAAAAATATTTTGTTTGTGTTAACAGTTAAACGTTATAGCCAAGGCTTACCGTAAAGAATTAAACAACATCGACAATGTCTTGGATACCGAACGTAAATTAATTTTGAATACCCTCGAAGAAAAATGGGAAGCTTTTTACGAGAAGTTGCTAAGTGATAATACAGATGCAATCGAAAAAAGGAAAGATGTTGTTCGCGAATACGAGAAAGAAATGGAACGAGTAATGATCGAACATCATGAGAAATTTCGTTCTGAAAGAATCACCTTGGAATTGGAGAATCAAGATCTTCAACAGAAACTTCAGGATATGAAAGCTTTTTGTTTGATGAACGTCGAAAAACTGAACTACAATTATGCTGTTCTCAAGCATAGAGATGAAGAAAATACTATAATCAAAAATGAACAGAAAAGACGAATGAATAAGTTAGTATATTTAAAAAAATGAAAATAAAAAATATATTTAAGTAATTCTAATTCACGTGTCATAGGCTTCAAGATACTATGAATGAATTAAAAAGGACCTACATCAAATTGGAAGAAGATACTCGAATCGAAATTCAAAGCTTGACTGATCAAGTTCTTAAAGCACATAAAAATATTTTAGAACTCGAAGAGAAATCTCAGCATTTTACTAACATCAATGAGAAGAAATACTTTCAAATATGGGACATGAATGTAAAACGTGCCAACGAGCTGGTCGATAAAGTAATTTGATAAAGTAATTTATAATTATCACATTAATTAGTTGTAACAAGTAGTAACATTTATAAGGATATGGGTAATGTAATCAATGGCACGTTTTTTAGATTTTGGCTACCGATCGAATAATACACGAACAAGCGTTAGGATTATTATGGCAACCACCAGAAGAGAAACTTTTGACCAAAGAAGATTTACCTTCTTATTGTACTGCGATCAGTACTATAAACAAAGGTAATATTTTTCAAACGTATCCAAATTATTATTAATTATATTTTCTTTCATAGTAAGGACGGATGCTTTAGAAAAAAAACAAATGCCTATTATTTATAAAAAAGCTGTCACCTTGGAAGACATCAATTTGGAAAGACGTTTGTTGAATCATATAATGAAACAAATATCCGAACAATCTGGTTACCTGATTGATGACAATATACAAAAATTACTTATACCGTATACAATTGAGGATAATATAATTATTAGATTAGACAATGTTTTTCAGGTATATAAAATATTCTGAAATGAATTAATTTGTTATATATGGAACACACATATTGATAATTTCAATGAAATGTTTTTCCAGGCGTTAAACATTGTATCCGAAGAAGAAGTTCACTTCTTATTGAATTTCTTTCTGCCTTATACGTATTGTCCCGATTGTAGGTCATCGGTTAAAAGTATATCCAAAGATACGGAGGACAAAATAATAGAATCTTCTTCATCATCATCGAGCACGTATGTAACACACCACATTTGAAGAAATCTACAAAATTATATATAAAATTATAAATTAAATAATAATAAAAATAAATGAATATATGTGAAATTAGGAGTAACACACCTGTGGTATGTGGCGAAGAATTAGACGAAGAAGCTGTTAATTTAGTGGCAACTATAAAAGAAGAGATCTTCTTCGATGATGTATGCTCAGGTGTTTGTAAACGTGTTGACCCAGATCAATCGCAAGATCCTCTTTCCTTGGAAGAGACTAGACGATCAACTTCCATAGAAGAATCGTGTTCGTCAAACATCGAAAGTAAAAATTCATCGCAAGAAAATGAACTGAGTCGACTGGTCTGTAAAAAGGGTCATTTGCTCAGAATTCATGCATCGTTTGTTACAAGAGCGTTAAAAGAATTCATAGAGAAATATCATTTTATTAAACGCGACGAAACACCTGAATCATTGAAGGAAAGATTATCGGCAAGGAAAGTTACAATCTCGCGAAGTTTGACCATCGAGGATATAAAAGAATTTTGGAAAAGATACAGGGATTTGTTTCCTCCGACTAAGGAACGTCTTTGGGATGGTTTACTTATCGGACTTAAACAATACCATGAAACTTTGAAAGAAAGACAACAATTGAGCAATGAGACTGAATTTTTAAAGAAACAAAATTCTGAGCTAAGACGTTTGCTCAAGACTTACACTTTACAGGTTGGTAAAACATTTTTCTATAATAAAAATAATAAATATTACAAAATATTTTTAACATACACAATATTTCCTATAGGAGACTGAAAATAGTTCAATAACAGAAACAGAATTATCTTTGTCTATCGAAATGTAACCAAAAAAAATGATAACACAGATATAATTTAATCTATCAACTTCCTATTTGAAGTTTCTTAAGTTATTTTTTACGAGGTTGGATTTAAATCTCAGACCAACACTCAACCCCTATTAGTCGGCTTTTACGACAAGCAGAGGATACTGTGGGTATATTCTATTCCCAACCCACAGGGAAAGATGCCAATAAATATTTTTTTACTATAATAAAAACGCGTTGGTCAATTCATTGATATGAACAATTAATTATTATCTATTAAATTGATGGATAAAAAAGGCCACAAAGTTGATAATAAAGTTTACTTATACAATGACATGTTGTAAATAAAATCAAACGTAATATAAAAGACAGAATCTTTATTAGATTCTGTACATGCGTCGTGTACCACCATGTTACATTCGCTCTCTTTCTAACTATGCTTTGCTTTTTTATTTTTTTTTTTTTTTTTTTTTTCTTATTGTTTTTTTTTTTTTTTTTTTTTTTTTAAATATTTACAGAGATCATGGTAGTACGTTTAAAGAACAATCGCTAATACTCAACAAACACATATTATTATTAAAACGCCGATAGTACTTAAAAATAATAGTGAGAAAAACGATTGGAAGATTTTGCTAAATCAATTTTCATATACTCTTGCTTTTATATTTCTATATATATAATCGATTAGAAAAAAAAAAAAAAAAACAAAAGGTTTCATAATTCAGATTGAAATTTGTACACGCGATTCCAATAATATGAAAAAAGTATCTAAAAAAAACCCCCAAAAAATCTCATTGCATTTTTTTCCATTCTTTTTCCATCTTTTTCTTCTCCTTTCGTCTTATTTTTTTGAATTTTTTTTTTTTTTTTTCTATTGACAAATATAGGAATATATATATATGCATGATTTACAACACTTTTATGTTCGATAACATATCGAAGGTTGTTAACTGTCCTTACAATAATAACAGAGGATAGTACTATGTTATCGTTCTAACGACAGATAGATAAACATTGTAATGTTTTATAAGTTTGTCTTACTAACATTATAATAAACATATTAGCACTAGACTTATTAATAACGGCATATATATACATATGTATTTGCTGAGTATGTAACTATCATTCACAAGACCGAAGAGTTATAGATACAGATATATATATATATATTCACATTTCTTTTTATAAATAAACTTTTTCTTACATTAAAATTTTAATCTTGTTTTGTAAGGATTTCTTTTTTTTTTTTTCTTTTTTTTAAATTTTTTAATTTAATTATCTCTCTTTTTTCTTTTTTTTTTTTTTTCTTTTGTTGCTGTTATATTTCGTTTAAATCACATATTAGCATCTTTTTATTTCTCTCTCTTTTAATTCCACAGATTGCTTTTACTTTACTCACTCATACCTTTGTGTTAACAAAACGAATAAGATTCCACATAATTGGTAAAAATAAATGCTCGCTCCGTTCTTTTTTATCTCCTAATAATAATATTATAATAATAATAATAATAATAATAATAATAATAATAAGTAATATTAATAATAATAAATGGACCAGATAAGATTCTTAATTAAATATCATCATCAGTACCATAAATCAATTCGTTTATGTTAACGCAATGTACAAGTTCTTATCTTCTTTTTCTTATACTCAATTAGAGTTATATAAAAACACGCAAAGTATTCCTATGCGAGTGGTGTTTGTCTTCCTCTCTTTCTATGCGTGTTTATATATATATAAATATATATATATATATGTATATATATATATTCTTCCTGAGTGGGAAGAAAAGAAAAAAGAAGAAAAGATAATATCCTTACGAATGAAACAAAAATTCTTAGCACTATGTTTGATTCGTAAAGCCACCCGGTACAAAATTATTTGACAATGATTGTACGGTGGTCGAGTTTGTATCGGATTTCGGTTTTTTCCAATATGGAGAAAATCGTTTCTTTTTTTGAGTCTTAGCTCTCTTCATTTTGCCAGTGTGCTTCTTGGATTTCATGTGCTGCAAATTTATGATCGTTACACCATATAATATATATATATATTTTATTGTCCTATTATTTAAAAAAAAAAAAAAAAAGAATAATGTTTGTACCATATTCCTTATAATATTATTTTCCATATATTTATTTAATTGAATATCTTTCTTTTTTCACTATTAATTTAATATCTTATCTTTCTTTTTTTTTCCTTAATTTATATTCTCAATAAATATTAAATTATTAATTATTAATTAATGTATTATACTTAATGGGGTATAATACTATACCACATTGTATTGCGAAGGAGAGTTGAAAAATTTGTTGCATATATCACATGACAGTGAGACGGCCTTCATAGGACCAGAATCCTGTATGTTGATTGCAGGAGCAACCAATGAACTACCTTGTGTGACAACTTCTTTTCCGAACCAACCACCTAAGCATTAATATTTTATAATCAACGCTATTATTTATCGCATTTATGTACAAGCGATTATTAAAGTATATGTGATGGCTACTTAATTAATTTAATAATATAATATATTCATGCTCTCTATATACGAAGAAAAGAGAATTATTAATAAATGATTTGTTTGATAATTTGTTTTTTCTTTGGTGCGTGCGTGCGTGTGTGTGTGTGTGTGTGAATATAAATAACATAAGTCATAATAAATATACAGAGATAACAGTGAAGTACAGTTAAATATCGTGGTTTTGTTTCTTTGGTGCATAAATGAACACGTGAGAATTGATGCAAAAATTTTTTTCGGCTTTTTGTTAAACTTTTGTTTATCAAAAAAAAATCTCTCTTATATCGAACCTTATTAATTTATCTCTCTGTTTTTTTTTTTTTTATATTTAATATTTGTATTTGAGAGTAAAGAAAAAAATGGCCTACACAAGGCAATGTGATTTTTTTTTCGTTACTTACGTTACCCAAAGACAAAATTAAATTAATGAAATCCAATATTATTTATGCACTCAATGACAGGTTCTCGAAGTCACTTACAGAGCTAAGCGATTAAATGTACTTTACTTGCTTTTCTTTTTTTCTCTTATTAATAATATTTAAATGTATCTATTATTGATTTATATTTGTGATTATGCCACGTTAATGGTAATTACTTTTTGCAGCAATTAAGTAAATAAATAATAAACATACGAATATCAGTCTAGTATAGTAGCAACAAAAAGACATGTATATAATAATAATAATAATAATAATAATAATAATAATAATAATAATATTAATAATAAATAAATAACACAAAAAGAGTAATGAACATTAACTATAATATAATTGGTATTTGAATTTTACAATATATATATAAAAGTAATATTATTATTATTATTATATCAATGATTCGAGAAAAAAATAATAATATAAATGGACAAAAGCAATGAATTAATAAATAATCGAAAATGATGTGGCGTAAGCACAAAAAAAATTATTTACAAAAAAAAAAAAATGACAGAAAAAGAAAAAAGAAAAAGAAAAAAACAAATAGGAAAGTATATAGATTTAACATTAAAAGAACATGTGAAAAGCGAAAGTAAGTAGCAGTATTAAGCATGCGAATGTAAAAAGAATTAAACAATAAATCAACACGATGATATTCTTTTCTATTATTTTATCCATGTGTATAGAGCGACATTTTAAACCATATGGCAGTTTTCTTACCGCATTTGTTTTATTACCTCTCAATGCCTTTTTCTTGTGTCGACTTCCTGCGAAAAGAAAATATTCTTATTTTAATAGATCGTTGTTGAATTTTCATTGATATATGTATATTATACAGAGTATCTGAGATATTCCGGTCAACCCTGTATATATATATATATATATACAGGGTGGTAAGAAGAAGTATCCAATATTTTAAGGGTTTATTGTACTTATTTTTTACTTCTCTTGATAAATACTATAAGAACACTTAAAATATTGGATCGTTTTCTTTTTTACCATCTTGTATATATATATATATATTTTTGTATGTATATAAAACTTCTTATTAAATAGAAAGATAACGATACCATTTAAATGCGTTTGTAGTTGTTGTATGGAGTTTAGGCAGACATTACAAACGTTACATTTAAGCCCATTAGTGTCGGCGTCCTTGGTAAATGCAACTTTAGTTTCTTCCAGCGATGCCATTATATTTTTCGACCTTATCTATGGGATATAAAGATGCTCGCTTGCATTAGTTATGAATTAAAAAAAGTTCAACGGAATAAAAACAATATGGAAAAAGTAACAATGTTTTCAATTAAAATGAACAAAAGTTAAGAAAATAATTAGCAAACCTGTTTGGCATGACGTGAGCCTTGCAAATGTGTATCTAATACTGTTTGGCTAGTAAATGATAAGTCGCAATCATTGCAACGTACATGAGGTTTCTTCGTTGGCAAATTACCCATGATATTGTCGACAACTGCTTTAGTTACCGGATCGTTCATATTGGAATTAATAATACTTTCCGCTGGTACTGCCATAATATATTCTTCTTTACAATATCTACAATATAAAATTTATAAATATAAATGAAATAAACTTTAACGTATAATTATGTCAATGTACATAACATTGTAGTAGAATTATTATTGTATCTATAGAAGTTATTATATACATGATTTATATGTATCTCTCACTCTCTGATATACAATAATCATTAGAATAAGAAAAAAAAGGCAAATAAAGGTTTCCTCTTACCTAAATTATTTTCACTTTATTTAAGACCCGGCTAAATAATAATAATTCACTTAATAATAATGATTACTATTACAGATGGTTACTTCTTCTTATATTTTTTGTTCTCTTCTTCTTCCTCTTCTTCTTCTTCTTCTTCTTACACCCCTATCTAATATTATTTTAACGATTTTAGAATGAAAATAAACGTAACGTTAGAAATGGTTCTCTCTTTCTATTTCTATTTCTATTTCTCTTTCGATGTGTGTATGACTTTGTTAATGTATTATTATTATTGTTCTTAGATTAACATAAAAATGAGAGATTGTTCTAACAGACTTAACGATAATTAACGATATTATATTACACGTTAGATTGCAAGCGATTTAATTGTTAGAATAAATAGAGAAATAAAGAACGAAGAAGGACGAGAGCAGTATTAACGATATATAAAATGAAGAACCGTGTTCATATAAATTAAGTTCCAACGTTGTTGCCATATTTATATATTGTATAGACTATACGATGTATTCTCGTGTTTACTATAACCACGCACTAAACTCTCGACCAATCGGAACGAACCTTTATCGACGAAATATAACGAAGTTAAAAGAATGAAATTCAAATGAAAACAAAATCGATCAAATGAATTAAATAAACACGAATAAATCATTTTTCCCGACACATTTAAACGAAATTAAATCGATATTTATATTCCCAAATAATTCTGATCAATGAGAAACGTAAGTTATATAATTTAATAAACAGGCGGTAATTTTGAATTGGATTGGAAGTTCCCGCCATTTTTCGATCCGACTGTTAAGGCAATAAGAACGGTTACAAAGTAAATTAACAGAAGATTCGATAATAGTATTAACAATTCTAACGATTAAAAGAAATAATATTTGAATAAAAGTAAGTAATAAAGTATTCATTGTTTTTTTATATTAACGTATAAATTTCGTATATAAAGTGAGAATAAAAAAAAAATGGATAGAAGGGAAGAGATACAATGGCGTAAAAATTGGTCGTTAGTTACGATAAAGGCTTAAGGATTGTCTACCAATCAGAATGGGGTATGGCAACCGTCAATCAGAGTTCGCGCGGGCGAATGTGTGCGATTGTATATAGGTGGCCTATTCGTGAAATATAGTAGCAGCCATCTTATATTTAGTGTCGGAGAAAAACAATTTGTCCCATTACAAATGTTTCGCGATTGCCCGTGAAGCCGCTCGACCGGAGGAGGGTAGGCGTGTGCGCTCGAATGAGGCGCGACGTATTTCGACCATAGCCTGGACCACTACACTTAGCAAAGGTTCGTAAAATGAAGAAACGAATGTGAGAAGGAAAACAATGCACGGCGCGTCGTCTTCGTCGTCGTCGTGGTTATCGTCGTCGTCGTCGTCGTCGTCGTGCTCGCCGTTGTCCTCGTCGTCAACGTCTTCGTCTTCGTCTTCGTCGTCATCGTCATCGTCGTCATCGTCGTCGTCTAGGGAAAGGTGGAAAGAAACAAGGAGTCCCGCTGAGCGCGCGCGCGGCCCTGTTGTTCGTCATTGTATGCGGGATAAATACTTATTTAACGGTGATAATATAAACTTCGTTATCTGGCGGCACGCTGGTCCCCCCCCATATCCCCTTTAAAAATAGAGTTAGCTACGAGGAATTAGGAAGCGCGGTAGAATAATATTCGTCGCGTAATATACACAGACCACCTCTCTCTCTCTCTCTCTCTCTCTCTCTCTCTTTCTTTCTCTCTGTCTCTCTCTCTGTCTGTCTACGGAACTAAAAACTACGATCTATTGTCGCGTTTCCAACGGCACACGTAAAAGTTATGCAATCAGCTGATCGTACAGTTACCTTCTGTCACTTGTCAAAAATAAATGTCAAAACTTGGGAACTAACCTGGCGTATTATAAACAAGCTTAAATGGATCCGAAAGTCTACGTGCTCGCGCGAAACGTTAGAACCGTACGACGTTATATACTTGGCTCACAGTGTGTTCATAGTGATCAAAATATAAAAAGAAAATAAGATTTATAGTTATTCCTTGCTATGCAGGTGGATTGGTACGCAGGATATGAGCAGTTTGTCAAGCGCAACCTGACTCTGCTCCCTCATCAGCAAGCTCAGCCGCAGCAGCAGCAGCAGCCGCCGCAGCAGCAGCAGCATCATCATCATCATCATCATCAGCAGCACCAGCAGCACCAACAGCAGTCGCAGCAACAACAGGAGTTACAGCCGCAGCAGCTGGCTCAGCCGCAGCAAAACATAATGACCTCTATGTTTGACCAACAGATTAAGAGCGAGCCAATGGGCTTTTATTCTGTTGCTTCTAGTCGGTCAGATGGGTCTAATTCTATGGTTAATTTGTCAGACGACAGGGAAGACCTTTCGCAACAGGAAGGACATTTGCAATCTCAACAACAGACGTCATTGCAGCTGAGCCAACAGCAACAGAGCCAACAACAGAGTCAACAGCAGAATCAACAACAGAGTCAACAATCGCAGCAGAATCAACAGCAGAGTCAAAACATGCCACAAGACAGTCCTGGTCGTCAGTCTACTGGTCAGCAAACCAGCAAGGAAGGCTCCAGATCTAAACCGCAGCCTTGTAAAGTTTGCGGCAAGGTCTTATCTTCGGCGTCCTCCTATTACGTACACATGAAACTTCATTCGGGTAACAAGCCATACCACTGTACTGTGTGCGAAGCAAGCTTCTGTCGTAAGCCTTACTTGGAGGTACACATGAGAACTCATACAGGCGAACGGCCGTTTCAATGCGAGCTATGTTTGAAAAGGTTCACGCAAAAGAGCAGTTTGAATACTCACAAGCGCGTGCATACGGGCGAACGGCCGTACGCCTGCGACATCTGTCAAAAACGTTTCGCGGTAAAGAGCTACGTTACGGCGCATCGTTGGAGCCACGTCGCTGAGAAGCCTTTGGTCTGTGACAGGTGTTCCCTGACATTTACGTCCAAGAGTCAATTCGCCATACACATTCGTACGCATACGGCGGGCGCCACTTACGATTGTAATATTTGCGGGCGTACCTTTGTACGGGATAGCTACTTGATAAGGCATCACAATCGGGTTCATCGGGACATGGGCCAAAGCGGCTCAAATCACAATCCGTCGACGCCACAGAGTACAGCAGGAGGCGCCTCAGGTACCGGCTTCGAAAGTCCGGTATGCGATCTGCGTTACAACGAGGGACCATCGTCGTTGGACGGTCTACCCGGTGGGAAGGGTGGTGGTATCGCAGCTGAGATCGCTAGCTTAGCCAAGCAAAACAGTCTACAGCTTCCTCTACCGTTACTGCATCCGCAGACAACCAACTAGTGTTTAGACGGCAGCGTGTCACGTTCCCTGCCGCAATCCCTGTCGCAGCAACGATCACCGTCGTCGCAGCAAGTAGTATGTCCACCCACCTCGGCTACAACGCCGTTCACACTTCATTCACGCGAGCACGCCGTCACCACCACCACCACTACTACCACACCATCACCACCACCACCATCACAACCTCTACCACTACTACCACAACCATCACCACTATCATCAACGCAGAGTGTCTACCAAACAACGGGTTCCTCCTCGGCTTCTCCTATGGGTAGCCCCGATTCCCAACTCTATCCTCACTTGTCGACCCCCATTGATTCGCCGGAGTCGCATCATCGAGCGCATCATCATCATCATCATCATCATCATCATCAATCGCATCATCATCATCATCATCATCGTGGTATTCCTCCGCCAGGGCTTCACCCTGCGCTATATCTATACGCCCAGTACTCCAATTCGAGTCCCACAATTTCCTCTTATCACGAATACAGTCACCGCAACAACGACTGAATTCTCTATTAAATAAACACACGCGAAACGATTATTATTATTATTATTATCATTATTATTATTATTATTATTATTATTATTATTATTATTATTATTATTATTATTATTATTATTATTATTATTATTATTAAACGCTAGCATCCATGAATTATTAATCGTGAATCTAGATTTTCGCGAGAAATAGAACAACAATTTTTCAATGGTAAAGTCCTTCGACGAGCATAAATAATAACGTAAATATCACGTAGTAGATTCATAATTAAATGGTGGTACACTGAAATCCAACGGTGCCCCCTTCCTCTCCCCTTCCCCTTCACCCTTCCCTCGCCCCCTATTCTACGAACACGACAAAGTGCCTACGAAAAAAGCATCCCCTTTCTGGATCGCGATATATGGATGCTTTTACTTTCTAACAAGTAAACACACAAACAACAACAACAACAACAACAACAAATAAAAACCCTTCTCGTCGCGTTATACGAAAGGGATTTTTCTTAAACTTTCCTTATGACCTTGACCTCTAATGATACCACCCACTCGCATCTTCCATCTATCCATACACCACTACCACCACCACCACTCACTACTACTACAACCAACCAATAAACAACCAACCAACCAACCCTTCTAGCCGTGACCCATGGCATAAGGAAGAGAAGAGTGAGAAAGATAGACAGAAAGAGAGAGTGAGAGAGAGAGAGAGAGAATAAAGAAAGTCAATTGTAAATTGATCGATCGTTCCTTTTAAAGTATAACCATTTAACTCGACTCTTCCTTGCCTAGACAGTTCATTAAATGGACTAAACATCATATATATTTCATTGGAAGGGAACAAAAAAAAAAAAGAAACAAATCAAACGGCATATTATAATAATTAATAGGTTGAAGGACTATACATACAAGCTCGTCATATTTTCTTAATTATTTATATTTATATAAATATCAATTCTATATATATATATATATATAAAATTTATATCAAACTCATAATCATTCACAAGATTTTATCATCTCTCTTGTAGAAATATTATATTCACGATTATATTTCGTACCGTTTTATAACACGTTCGCGAACGTGAATGTTATGACATTCATTTTCATTATCATGATGTAGAATGACGCGAATGCTATAACATTCAAATTTTAAATATTTATTTATTGAATTTTATTTTATATAACCATTAAGTTTTTGTAATTATTATATCTGTAATGATATAATGACTATAAATGATTCTTTACAATATGATAATTAAATGTGTTGTTTGATCATATTTTAGATATCACAATTAATTTATTACAAATAAAATGATTATCTTTTATTGTTCTCGCGAACGTGTTAACTGATGCTAGTGAATAAGAATCTTAGTATATATTGTGGGATATCGAATATTGGATACAAACAAACCAACAAACAATTAAACAAACAAACAAACAAACAAACAAAGAAGAATAAGAATAAGAATAAGAAGAAGGAAGATAAGAAGAAGATGAAGAAGAAGAGACGGAAACTAAAAAATGATTTTAATCACCCTGTTTAAATAGCTTTCTTTATGCCTATTATTATTTTCCTCGATATCACATCTGCGAGAAACGTGTATAATACATATAAACATACATACATACATACACACGTACATCTATACATACATAAATTGATAGACATATACACACGTATACATATAGATATATCTGTGTGTGTGTGTATGTGTTTGTATCTTAAGGTCTATTTGTGCAATATATGTCTTCTATATACACAAATACACATGGCGTGTAAGATGTGTGTGTATAAACATATATTAAACGTGACCATTTAAACAAGAACACAATGAACAAAAAAAAAATACATGGAAGACAAACACACTCCCCCACATCTCTAAGGTATATATACATATTAATATTATATTTTTCAAGGAGTTTTTAGTCACTTGGATCTGTGATATAGATAGTAATTATATTATCTAAAAACCATTGATTGGGTTTAATACTTTTCACGTATACCGAAAGTTGCCCCCCCCGCGTTTTTATGAGAAGGGTTAAAAGATATTAAACGAAAGGGATATGACAATTATTGGTCGGCAATTTTAAAACTAAACAGCATTATTATTAATATTAATATTATTAATATTATTTTTATTATTTTTATTA